TTGGAAACATCAGAAACGGCAAAAGATGTCTTAAAGAATGGTAAAAAACTGCATGGCACTCCGATTTATATTGAAAAGGACTTGAGCTTGACTAAACAGGAAAATAAATCAGCTTTATTACAGCTGAAAAGAGATCTTGAAGCCATCAGAAAGACTCAAAAAATTTATGTTAAAAATGACAGTATAAATATATCAGGAAAATGGATGCACTTTGATAAAAACAAGAAACTAAAGTGCAAAGATGGTGACGCTGTTGAGCAATTAAAGCAATTGTATGGTGAGATTGAAGTGGAAGAAGTGCTCGAGAAAAACAAGCTTTTTAAAAAAATAAATCAGCCAAAAAACTGTTAGTAAAAAAGGAAATCGTTAAAGATGCCAAACAAAAAATTGAAAAAAATGCAAATGCCGCCAGGTCAGACACTAAATTAGCATATCAATTTAAAATATTATCGTATAATGTAGCTGGTTTAGCAAATAAGTATAAGTTTATAGAATTTATGAAGTATGTTAAAAAATTCGATATATTTGTATTATTTGAAACATTTTTAGTAAGTAAGACATATTATATTGAAAACACATTTATAGAATACAATCTTCATTGGGTGCCTGCAACAAGAACAACAAATAGAGGTCGAGCCAGTGGAGGAAAATTGTATGGTGTACGAAAGCAATTGCAATTTTGCGGTACAGTGGTGTTCAAGCACATTATGAACTCAACAATAATCGAGATAACCACTAATAATCAAAAGTTATGTTTAATCCCAGTTTACCTAAATTGCAATAACTGGCTAAATGATCTCAATAACTTATGTGAAATATTAGTGGAAGCTCAAAACAGTTAAAAAAGGTGGTGATATAGCTGATTTAGAGAAATACAAAAATGAAAACAGAGAATACAAAAAGCTGTGTGATGAGAAAAGGAAGTCATATTTCAATGAAATGGCAATGTCGATATCCCAAGCAGCTGATAGTAAATCATTTTGGAGTGGAGTTAAAAAAATAAATCGTGCAGATTACATAAAAGGAATTAAAGTGGACGCCGAAGCTTTGGCGGCACATTTTAAAAACCAGTTAAATAGCAATATAGTAAGCAAGTCTTTCAGTTATGCCCTGCCGTATGTAATAAATGAAGCGTTAGATGCTCCAATAAAGATTGAAGAGGTCTATGCAGTGCTCCAGAATTTAAAAAATAACAAAGCCGCAGGTGAAAACAGAATTCCAGCTGAGTTTTTAAAATATGCCACGTCACAATTTATAGAGCATATGGCTGAATCATACAATTATATATTTGAAAATGCAGCCCCACCTGATAGTTACAAAAAAGCCATAACATTTCCCCTATTTAAAAAAGGTGACCCAAAAAATGTAGCAAATTATAGAGGAATAGCGTTTCTTAATACATCAGCTAAAGTCTTTACAACACTCTTGTATAACAGAATTAAAAATTGGGTTGATCAAAACAACATATTAAGCGAATTTCAAGCTGGATTTCGAAAAGGTTACTCCACGGAAGATAATATTTTCGTCATCACTAGTGTAGCGCAAGAGTTTATTGCAAAAAGCAAGAAGTTATATGTTTTTTACGTAGATCTTAAAGCTGCTTTCGATACAATACAAAGAAACGTACTATTTTACAAACTAAGCCAGCTGGGTTTTTCAACAAAAATTTTGAAAATACTGCAAAGTCTATACTGCAAGAATGAGTCAACAGTATGGGACGGAAGAAGTACATCGAGATGATTCCAAACGTGTACCGGAGTGAGACAAGGTTGTGTCTTAAGCTCTATATTGTTTGCACTGTTCGTTGATGACTTAAGTAAATTTCTTTCTGGTGGTGTTACGATTGCCAATATGTGCCTAAAAGTACTATTATATGCTGATGATATTGTGTTGTTTGCAGATTCTCCAATAATGTTACAAAATATGATAGATGAATTAAATAGATATTGCAACTTATTGGGACTATCTATAAATACAGACAAATCAAAAGTGATGGTATTTAGGAAACATGCTAGAAGATTGAGAAATGATGAAAAATGGTACCTTAACGATGATCAATTAGAAGTGGTTAATAATTATAAATATTTAGGAATAAATATGAAATATAACGCAAAATTCGATAACCACTTGAACGAGAAGTTAAAGGAAGCTAAATTGGCTATTAATTGTACCTGGATAAATGTCTTAGGAAATCCGAAAGTGTCACTGCCCGTAAAATACAAAGTTTTTGAAGCCACAGTTAAGTCAGTTCTATATTATGCAGCGCAAATCTGGGGTGTTGATAAATATGACGCAGTAGAAAAATTGCAGACATTTTATATAAAGGGAACATTTCGTTTGCCGAAAAATACCCCAAATTATATGGTGCATTTAGAAACTGGTCTACCGACGCTATATACCCAAACATTAAAATTGCATTTTGATTACATCAATCGTGTTAGGAATTTGCCAGACAATAGGATTCAAAAAACATTAGCGCAGTACCTAATAAATGAAAAAACATTATTTTTTGAAAAATGGTCAAATCTGGCATCCGAGTTAAATATAACTAATGATTTGAGTATTAATGAAAACTGGAAAATGTGGCAAAAAAATATAATAACGAAACTAAGTATTGAAGAACGTAGAAATTTTGTAGAAACGGCAAGAAACAGTATATCGAGAGATGCATATAGTAAGTTGAATTATGATCTAGGTGTCAATAATTACTTTCACGAGCAATATGACCTAGAAACAATAAGGACAATCTTCAAAACCCGCGGCGAGCTCCTACGATTGTGCTACGTACCGCATGAAAGTCTAGACACGCTGTGCACGATATGCAACCTTAAATTGAAAGGCGATGTTATACACTTAGTAGGTGAATGCCCAATTTTTAAAGAACATAGATTGCTGTACTTCGGTAAACCCGCGCTCGATGTCAATGAAACCATACGGTTACTGAATGGCCCCAACTGGAGATTGTTAACGGCATTTATTAAAACTATATTTAAATATAGGCAAAATATTATTAATGAAGACTTTTAAATTAACTTATATAAAATCTATTATTTTTGTTAAAGTAATTTAATTTAATTTTTATGTTGTATTGAGCTTATAAGCAAGAATACCTATTTAATATTTCTAAAAATTGGATTAATTAGTTATTAGTTAATTAGCTATTAGATTAATCTAAACTTCCGGCAGACGGCTAAAATGCCATAGCTGTAAGCTTTATGTATATTTATTATAATTATATGTATTATAATTATTATATAACTTCGATGTAATATAATAACTTTAAAATGAAGTAAAAATAAAGCTACTACTACTACAACTACTACATATATATTATATACAGTACTCTTTTATTTTATTTTCTTCACATCATAAAACTCTTAATTAAAACCAAAAAAAAAATCAAAAGCGATGTGTGTTAGAGAAATACAATTCACACTTTTAATATACTTTTTTTTTTGTTGAAATTTTAAATAATAAATTTTCTTTATTAATATTTTCCAACCTTTATTTCCTTTTTCTTTTCCAAAACTATTGAGTACATTTTCTTCTTTAATGAGCCTTTCTATTGACAACAAAACTAAAAATGAAAATTTTCCCTCGATCTCCAAAAACTATAAATTACATGGTTCGAGAACTAATACAATATAAAAACGTCAATTTTATTATTTACCTTAAAAAATAATTAAATCATATATCCAAGTTTATCATATTTGTAAGAATTTTCGGATGCTAATGAAATTTTCCTGATTATTTTGTTATGCCCTTTGGAGTACGTGAATTTTTCTATTTTTGCAAATGAATAAAAACTGTCTAATTCTTACCTCATTCCCAAAAACTCTTACAAGACCTACTACTCTTAAACGCATTGTCATAATTCCCTTTATTATCTAATCCGTTAATTTTAAATCTATCTCCTATTTAACTTATTTTCTCATTTTCACTATTAAAATATCTTCATTAATATTTACCATATCTATTCACCAAAAATATCTATTTTTCATTTGCTGCCCTTAAGGCACCGTAGTATTCCCTGGTCTTTTCTCAGACAACTCATTGTTCCGTAGGTTTACATGAAACACAACTTATAATACCTAAAACTCCCTACTAGTTCATCTCCCGTTTTTACAAAATTTAACCCAACTTGGAAATACTTTACTCTACCTAATTCCAAAAAATGGATTACATTTTGAACCCTACATACAAGTTAACAAAATAAATTTCAACACAAATCGCCACTCTTCCATAGGTCCGCGAACTCCTTCTGAAATCAAAACAACCCTATCATTGTAACAAACTCAATAGTATGGAAAGAATTTTTACCAAATTACATATAAAAAAAATATTACGTATTTTACAATAAAAATATATTAAATTATAATAATTAATTGTTTAACATTTCTTATTTTTCATCTCTTATTTTTCTAGTATGTAAAAATCCTTTTAAATCTTAAAATTGGAAAATTCCTAATTACTTTTTATTTATTATTATTTTTTTCTTCTTTTTCCTTTTTAAAATGAAAAAAAAAATTACATCAAGCATAGTGGCTCGTTTATGTAACTCGTTCGAGTTAAACTCGAACGAATTCTTTCGAAAAGTTCTCACTTGCTTTTTGTCACTTCTTTCGAGTTTGCTGTTTATGTAGCATGAAAAATTCAACACACGAGAACGTTATGGTGTGATGAGAGAAACTAATGAAAATGGAACGTTTTTTTCCATTTAAAAGACAATTTAAAAAGTTTGCTTAATGTTTGCGATAAGATATTCAAAATTATTTGAAAATCATGAATAAATAAATATTGCCTCTTGTTCAGAATTAAAAATGGAATATCTTGCTGTTTTAACTGCAGTGGTACATGACAGCAGAAATATGCTTCGCATTCATCGAAGGCATTTACGTGATTCAACTGACCCATTTCATTTGCCAGAAGCGCGTTTTGTCGAGCTATTTCGCTTTAATAAGGAAGTAACTCTACGTCTTTTAGAAGAAATATGTCCGTTTATGAGGATTGGGGTCAGAAACACCTATATACCGAATCATATAAGGCTAACTGCTGCGCTGCATTTTTATGCAACAGGGTCGTTTTTACGCGACATAGGACAGGACTTTGTGTGTCCAATGAGCAAGTCAACATTATGTTTGGTAATAAAAGAAGTGACTTTTATTATTCAGGATAAATTGATGCAGAAGTACATAAGATTTCCCACTTCTGCAGATGAACAGAATATTGTTAAACAAAGGTAACAAATTTGTGTTATAGATGTATTTTAGTAATTGATTGTGTCACACAGATTCTTCAATGCGACAGGCTTTCCAGGGGTAATAGGTGCTGTTGATTGCACGCACATTAAAATAAAAAAACCTCATATAGAAGTGGAGCATTGTTACAGAAATAGAAAAGGTTATTTTTCAAAAAATGTGCAGCTCATTTGCGATTTTGATTTAAAAATCTTGGGATGCTATGCTCGTTATGGTGGAAGTACGCATGATGCCTTCATATGGGAGAACAGCGCAATCAAAAAGTTCCTAGAAGTCAATCACAGGCAAAATAATGACTCAATTTGGTTACTGGGTGATTCCGGATATCCTCTTCAACCATGGTTAATGACTCCTTTTAGAAATAGTGAAAATGCAAGCCAGCGAACGTTCAATGCAAAGCATATTAATGCTCGAAATTGCATTGAACGATTGAATGGAGTTCTTAAAAAGGTTTTTGCATGTTTGTCATTTGAACGTGGTCTGATGGTTAGTCCTGCTTATGCGGGATCTATAGTAAATGTCTGTTGTGTTCTGCATAATTATAGAAAAAACCATAACTTACCCATGCCCGAGGTACAAGAACACCAACAAACAGAAACCGATTCTTCAGATTTGTACAGCACTATTTCTGTTTTAAATGAAGGCCGAAGAGTACGGGAATCCATTACAAGGAATTATTTTCATTAATTTTTTCTTTAATTAATTAATATCATTTTTATTTTAATAATAATATCATAATTTAATATAGTATTTTAATTGAAAAACTTTATTTAAATTTGTTTTAATACTATTTTTATTATGTTATTAATAAAATTAATACTAAATAATACTAAAATAAATACTTAATTAATACTGAAATACTAAATAAATAATAATAATAATGTTATTAATAAAATTAATACTAAGTAATACTAAAATAAATACTAAAATACTAAATAAATAATAATAATAATGTTATTAATATAATTAATACTAAATAATACTAAAATAAATACTAAAATACTTAATTAATACTAAAATACTAAATAAATAATACATTATATATTTTTAAATTATAATAAAGATATATACATATTTTTTTTAATTTTTATTCCTTTTTGGTGTTGCAAATTAATGTATCCAACTTATTATCGATGCTTTTAAGTACTTTGAGCATCTCTTGTAGTGTTTCGTTCTGCCTATCGTTTTCATCAGCAATGAAACTCTTCACTCTCTCCAGTTCCGACAAGTACGTCTCATTTCTTGTCTTTTTAACTGTCGGTGGTATAGTTGGATCTGAATTTATTTGTAGTGTTGGTGTCGGAGAATCAAAGTTTTCATCTACAATTTCTACACTGTCCAAAAATTCTATGTCATACGAATCTGATTGCTAATACTGTAAAAGAAAATAGAAATTGTTGTTATTAATATATAAAACAAAAAACATGTCTTTTATTTACCGGAATGCCTGCTTCGGGAGTATTTTGATCCCCATCCACTGCATGCTCCGAAATCAACTTAATAACTTCTCTGTCAATTCCTTCAAGAGGTTTGGGCCCTTCACTATATGGTGGATTGCCTGTTTGTTGACAAAAACGCTTTGTTGCAGCTGCTTGCTTTTTCACTGAAAGCTTCCAGTCCGCCCAGCACTATAAGTAATAAGTAATTTTTTAATTTTGAATTTCACAGTGTTAAATAAATTGTATTTAATTAATTATAATAATAAAATAAATCTGCAAAGTACATAAAATTATAAGTAGAGTTTTTTGCATACATATGCTAAGCGTAACCACATCGAAATTGGTGCAGTAACGGTAAAATTTACAAAATGTTAGTATTATGTATTGCTAGACGTATTTCATTTATTTTGTTTAAGATGTATGTAAAATTAAATAAAATTAAATTATTTGTTAATTTAATTATAATAAAGCACTTGTATCAAAAATTTTAATTTATTCACTTTAACTTACTTTTTTCCATTGCTCTGGAGTTTTATTGCATCCTCCAGAAGCATTCAGTTCCTCCGCACAATTTTTCCAAAAAATTTCTGTCTTTTTACGACTATCGGGGCCTGCTGAAAATTGACCCCGAGCAATATAAACATTTTGTTTTAATAGGTCTAGTAATTTATATTTTTGTGTCTTCGACACACGACCGGACAAAATTTTTTTCTAAAAAATCATAAATAAAATTTACTTATCAATATTAATAATAATAATATATTTAATATTATATATAAATAAATATATAAATAAATATAAATTTATGTAAATATATAAGTACTTACATTACTCATTATGAATATATCAAAAAATAATTTTTTTAAAAAAATGAAATTGTTTTCACTATCACGTTGTATAACTTTGAATTCAAATTCAAAACTTCTCGCAAGCAATTTGACAGGTGACAATAACTCGAACGAAAAAAAGTGAGAAAACCATTCACCATAGTTACATAAACACTTCTAGTGAGTAATTGTTAAAAGTGAGAAAATCGTTCGAGAAAACGAAGTGAGAAAGTTACATAAACGAGCCACTATGCTTGATGTAATTTTTTTTTTTCATTTTAAAAAGGAAAAAGAAGAAAAAAATAATAATAAATAAAAAGTAATTAGGAATTTTCCAATTTTAAGATTTAAAAGGATTTTTACATACTAGAAAAATAAAAGATGAAAAATAAGAAATGTTAAACAATTAATTATTATAATTTAATATATTTTTATTGTAAAATACGTAATATTTTTTTTATATGTAATTTGGTAAAAATTCTTTCCATACTATTGAGTTTGTTACAATGATAGGGTTGTTTTGATTTCAGAAGGAGTTCGCGGACCTATGGAAGAGTGGCGATTTGTGTTGAAATTTATTTTGTTAACTTGTATGTAGGGTTCAAAATGTAATCCATTTTTTGGAATTAGGTAGAGTAAAGTATTTCCAAGTTGGGTTAAATTTTGTAAAAACGGGAGATGAACTAGTAGGGAGTTTTAGGTATTATAAGTTGTGTTTCATGTAAACCTACGGAACAATGAGTTGTCTGAGAAAAGACCAGGGAATACTACGGTGCCTTAAGGGCAGCAAATGAAAAATAGATATTTTTGGTGAATAGATATGGTAAATATTAATGAAGATATTTTAATAGTGAAAATGAGAAAATAAGTTAAATAGGAGATAGATTTAAAATTAACGGATTAGATAATAAAGGGAATTATGACAATGCGTTTAAGAGTAGTAGGTCTTGTAAGAGTTTTTGGGAATGAGGTAAGAATTAGACAGTTTTTATTCATTTGCAAAAATAGAAAAATTCACGTACTCCAAAGGGCATAACAAAATAATCAGGAAAATTTCATTAGCATCCGAAAATTCTTACAAATATGATAAACTTGGATATATGATTTAATTATTTTTTAAGGTAAATAATAAAATTGACGTTTTTATATTGTATTAGTTCTCGAACCATGTAATTTATAGTTTTTGGAGATCGAGGGAAAATTTTCATTTTTAGTTTTGTTGTCAATAGAAAGGCTCATTAAAGAAGAAAATGTACTCAATAGTTTTGGAAAAGAAAAAGGAAATAAAGGTTGGAAAATATTAATAAAGAAAATTTATTATTTAAAATTTCAACAAAAAAAAAAGTATATTAAAAGTGTGAATTGTATTTCTCTAACACACATCGCTTTTGATTTTTTTTTTGGTTTTAATTAAGAGTTTTATGATGTGAAGAAAATAAAATAAAAGAGTACTGTATATAATATATATGTAGTAGTAGTAGTAGTAGTAGCTTTATTTTTACTTCAATTTAAAGTTATTATATTACATCGAAGTTATATAATAATTATAATACATATAATTATAATAAATATACATAAAGCTTACAGCTATGGCATTTTAGCCGTCTGCCGGAAGTTTAGATTAATCTAATAGCTAATTAACTAATAACTAATTAATCCAATTTTTATAAATATTAAATAGGTATTCTTGCTTATGAGCTCAATACAACATAAAAATTAAATTAAATTACTTTAACAAAAATAATAGATTTTATATAAGTTAATTTAAAAGTCTTCATTAATAATATTTTGCCTATATTTAAATATAGTTTTAATAAATGCCGTTAACAATCTCCAGTTGGGGCCATTCAGTAACCGTATGGTTTCATTGACATCGAGCGCGGGTTTACCGAAGTACAGCAATCTATGTTCTTTAAAAATTGGGCATTCACCTACTAAGTGTATAACATCGCCTTTCAATTTAAGGTTGCATATCGTGCACAGCGTGTCTAGACTATCATGCGGTACGTAGCACAATCGTAGGAGCTCGCCGCGGGTTTTGAAGATTGTCCTTATTGTTTCTAGGTCATATTGCTCATGAAAGTAATTATTGACACCTAGATCATAATTCAACTTACTATATGCATCTCTCGATATACTGTTTCTTGCCGTTTCTACAAAATTTCTACGTTCTTCAATACTTAGTTTCGTTATTATATTTTTTTGCCACATTTTCCAGTTTTCATTAATACTCAAATCATTAGTTATATTTAACTCGGATGCCAGATTTGACCATTTTTCAAAAAATAATGTTTTTTCATTTATTAGGTACTGCGCTAATGTTTTTTGAATCCTATTGTCTGGAAAATTCCTAACACGATTGATGTAATCAAAATGCAATTTTAATGTTTGGGTATATAGCGTCGGTAGACCAGTTTCTAAATGCACCATATAATTTGGGGTATTTTTCGGCAAACGAAATGTTCTCTTTATATAAAATGTCTGCAATTTTTCTACTGCGTCATATTTATCAACACCCCAGATTTGCGCTGCATAATATAGAACTGACTTAACTGTGGCTTCAAAAACTTTGTATTTTACGGGCAGTGACACTTTCGGATTTCCTAAGACATTTATCCAGGTACAATTAATAGCCAATTTAGCTTCCTTTAACTTCTCGTTCAAGTGGTTATCGAATTTTGCGTTATATTTCATATTTATTCCTAAATATTTATAATTATTAACCACTTCTAATTGATCATCGTTAAGGTACCATTTTTCATCATTTCTCAATCTTCTAGCATGTTTCCTAAATACCATCACTTTTGATTTGTCTGTATTTATAGATAGTCCCAATAAGTTGCAATATCTATTTAATTCATCTATCATATTTTGTAACATTATTGGAGAATCTGCAAACAACACAATATCATCAGCATATAATAGTACTTTTAGGCACATATTGGCAATCGTAACACCACCAGAAAGAAATTTACTTAAGTCATCAACGAACAGTGCAAACAATATAGAGCTTAAGACACAACCTTGTCTCACTCCGGTACACGTTTGGAATCATCTCGATGTACTTCTTCCGTCCCATACTGTTGACTCATTCTTGCAGTATAGACTTTGCAGTATTTTCAAAATTTTTGTTGAAAAACCCAGCTGGCTTAGTTTGTAAAATAGTACGTTTCTTTGTATTGTATCGAAAGCAGCTTTAAGATCTACGTAAAAAACATATAACTTCTTGCTTTTTGCAATAAACTCTTGCGCTACACTAGTGATGACGAAAATATTATCTTCCGTGGAGTAACCTTTTCGAAATCCAGCTTGAAATTCGCTTAATATGTTGTTTTGATCAACCCAATTTTTAATTCTGTTATACAAGAGTGTTGTAAAGACTTTAGCTGATGTATTAAGAAACGCTATTCCTCTATAATTT